GCCCCCCCAGCCTGGCCCCCCCCAGCACAGCCAGGAGCCCTGCCCCTCCAGCCTGCCACGCCCCCAGCACAGTCAGGAGCCCCGCCCCCCAGCCTGCCACCCGCCAGCACAGCCAGGAGCCCCGCCCACCCCAGTCTGGCCCGCCCACTCCAGCCGAGAGCCCCGCCCCCCAGCCTGGCCCCCCTCCGCACGGCCAGGAGCCCAGTTACCTCCACAGTGATAGTGACGTTGACGAGGGAGCTGAGCTGTGGCACGCCCAGGTCGTGCACCCGCACGGTCACCACCACCTTCCCCTTCAGCGCCGGCTCCAGGGCCTCGCGGTCCAGTGCCCCCAGGCTGCGCAGCACCCCCGTGGCGGGGTCGATGGTGAAGTTGGCGCTGAAGGCCCCGGGCTCCAGCTGGAACCGCAGGCGGCTGTTGTTGGTGCCGGGCTCGTCGTTGTCAAAGGCCTGGAAACGAGGCCGCCGGAGGGCTCAGGGCCGGACTCAGGGACCCCCACCACAGAGCTCCCCCGCCCACCCCACAAGCCCAGCAGTGCACGGTGCCTCATGCCTGGGAACCGGTCACCATCCCGCCCACCCAGCCCTGGCGCCGTTACAGAGCCAGGGAACCCACACCCTTGGCCTCCAGTGGGCTCCCCACAGCCCCGGGAAAGCCCCAGCGCCCCCGTTAAAGGAGCCTCATTAGACGGCCCCAGGGGGCAGCCAAAGGGGCCGGCTGGAAGGTGCCAAGGGCCGGCTAGTCCTCTGGAGAAGTGGGGCAAGGGCATCGGCCCCCAGGGCTCAGCCCCACCTGGATCTGGACGCTGATGTTCTCCTGCTCCTCGTTGATGAAGATGTTGTAGGAGCCGCTGATGACTGGGGCGTTGTCGTTGACGTCCTGCAGGGTGATCTCGAGGAAGGTGGAGCCAGTCATGTTCCCCCCGTCCACGGCCTGCAGGGTGACGGAATAGGGTGTGCGGGTCTCACGGTCCAGCAAGCTGCCGTTTCGCACCAGCACCTCCCCGCTGCTGGCGTTCACCGCAAAGATGTGCAGCCTGTGGGACATAGAGTGACCAGGTGTCCGGTTTTCAACCAGAACAGCCGCTCGAAAAAGGACCCTGGCGGCTCCGGTCAGCACCGCCGTCTGGGCCGTTAAAAGTCCAGTCAGCAGCACTGCGGGGCTAAGGCAGGCTAGTCCCTACGTGTCCTGGCTCCGTGCTGCATCCCGGAAGTGGCCAGCAGGTCCGACTCCTAGGCGGGGGGGCCATAGAGCTCCGCACACTGCCCCTGCCCCGAGCACCGGCTCCGCAGCCAATGGGAACTGCAGGGGCGGTGCCTGCGGTAGAGAACAGCTGGTTCGCGGGGCAGGGAGGGAGAGGGGAGGAGGGGGAACACAGCGTGCTGGGGGAAGAGGCGGGGCCGGGGCGGGGATTTGGGGAAGGGATCCAATAGGAGAAGGAAGGGGGCGGAGTTAGGGCGTGGACTTTGGGGATGGGGTTGGAATGGGGACGGGACAGGGATGGGGTGGAGTCGGGGCCCGGGCACCCACTGGCACCGAAAAAGTTGGTGCCTATGGACCTGTCCGGTCCTGGCACGCCGGGCTGGAGGCAGGCACCAGGCACAGTCCCACCAGCCCCTCCGGAGCCCGGCCAGGACCTCCCCGTGGCAGTGAGGGGCGCGGCAGGGTACGTACATGCTCTCGGGCAGCAGCCTGTAGGTGATCCTGCCAAAGCCACCGCTGTCCAGGTCAGTGGCCTGCAAAAGCCAGAAGGGCCCCGTTGGTCACAGCAGCAGCGGGGCCCAGCCCCTGGGAGGCCATCGGGGGGGCTGGGCCCCAGCCAGGGTCCCCAGTGCCTGCCACAACCCCACCCCCCGCGGGTGCCCCAGAGCACCACTGCCCCCGTGGGCTCCCTCACCGTGATGGTGGAGATGACGGTGCCCGCTGGGCTGTTCTCCGGCACCTGCAGCCAGTACGTGCTCTGATTGAACTCCGGGCTGTGGTCGTTGATGTCAAGCAGCTGGATGGTCACTGTGGTGATGGAGCAGCAGTTCCCGGGGTTCCTGGTGTCGCTGGCAACGATCTGCAGCATGGGGAAGGGACCACATCACCCCCAAACCCACTGAGCCCCCTCCCCTGGGGAAGGGACCACATCATGGTGGGTGCTCCAGGGCTCTGCACCCACCGGCTGCTCCCGGCCCCCCGCCAGCCTCAACTCACCTCCGCCTCCTCCCCTGAGCGTGCCGCTGGGTCCTGCGTCTCCCCCGTCCCTCCCAGCGCTTGCGCCCCCAGGGGGGAGGAGGGGAAACGTGGAGCGCTTGGGGGAGGAGGCAGGGCCAGGGTGGGGATTTGGGGAGGGGTCCAATAGGGGCAGGGAGGGGCGGAGTTGGGGGAGGGACTTTGGGGTGGGGTGGAGTCGGGGTGGGGCGGGGGTAGGCACGAGCACCCACCGGCACCAAAAAAAGTTGGTGCCTGTGGACCGCGTCCCCCCAAACCTGCCGAGCACCCCCATACTCGGTGGAAGGGACCGCGTCTGCCCCATCCCCCCATCCCCCTTGGGGCTGCCTGGGGCTGAGTTCAGGGGAATGAGGCTGGAGCTGCCCTGCCCACGCTGGGTGCTCGCCCCCCAAGGACAGGGATGGTTCTCCCACTGCAGCGACGCAGGTCCCGGCCCCCGGGGCTCTGGGCTCTGGGCTTGGCCAAATGCGGCCAGGCACAAAGGAGGATCGGCGGGCAGCCCCAAGGCCAGGGGGAGCGGCACCTCCCCGCCTGCCCAGCCCAACGGGATGCAGCCCCCCTGCAGCCCTCAGCGTAGGCACGCTGGAGACGGCCTGCCCCCCGGACAGGCAGCTGGCCCAGCCTGGCTCTGGGGCCTGTCCCCCTCCACCCTCCGGGGCTCTCACCTCCACTGTCATCACAGGAACCTGCTCGTAATCCACGGTGCTGGGGTGCTTCACCAGGACCTGCACCGCCCCCGTGCCCGTGATCCTCGTGGGCGAGACGGAGAAGGAGGCGGCGGCCGGGCCCTGCAGCTGCAGCTCAAAGGTGCCATTGGAGCCCTGCCCGGGAGAGAGGAGGGGGAGAAACCCGGCCGCTGGGGGCCTGCTCCACCCCGGCCACACCCCACAGGGGAGCAACTGGGTTGGGCACTGGTCCCAATCCTGACCTGTGGCCCCTGTTCCCCCAGCCCTGCCGATCCCCCCCGATCCTAACCCCCAGCCCCTGCTCCCCCTGCCCTGCCAAT